CACGCACCTGGCCCCAAAGCCCTGGAAACACTTGACTCAACTCAACACCATCCACAGGCAACCACAGCCTCCAGGGGGCTCACGCCACCCCAACCTCCTAGCCTCAAGCCTTATAGGAACAAGAATCATGAGCACCGCCCACCTTCCATCAGAAATCTCAACCTCCGTACCTGGATTCCTTCAAGCCCGCAAACCCTTGCCACACTCTGCTCTGGAACATCACCTCAAGACAGAACGGAGGGACAGAATTAGGTCTTTATTAGTGCAGTAACTGCCATTAATAATAACATCCTCTAACTGAAACAGGGAAATTTTGTTTGTAAAGCTGCTTCCAGCCTGGTCCTCCAGGAGAGCAGCAGAGCAGGATCACCAGACGGGCAGGACAGCAGAACGGTGAGCAGCGCCTCTGATTTCCACCTCTGATCAGAATCCTGGTCAGATCACCAGGGCTCAATTCATGGCTGGTGATTTACCACCCTCATGACTTCAGGTAAGTTTCCCAAGGCTGGGAAGTCACCTGATCTGAGGAGTAGGAAGAGCCTAGCAGGTGCCTGACAGATGCCCTGTGGTCAAAAGCGGGAGGTGTCATTATAATCAGGATCCAAGGCAGCCTGACGCTCAGTTCTACTGTGCAAGCTGGCTGTGCTGTGGCTGACCGGGTAGAGCAAGCTCTCTGACGCGTGGGGCAGTGGCGAGGCCGCCCAAGGGTCTCACAGAAGAGAGACAGCTCCACCTGCCCTGCGGCTGCACTCCCTGACCCTCCACAGCCCCTCCATGCACCTTGGGAATTCTTCCCCACACCCCTCAGGTGATGTCCCCAAGACGCCCGGAGATTCCAAGTCTCTGGGACAGATGTGATGTCGCCCACCTCCCAGGAGGCTGCCGGATCAGACTAATGATACGGAAAGGCAGGGCTTCTGCAGGGGCCGAGTGACATGGTCAGGGCCCCACGGCTAAGATGCGGCAATGCTGTGTCCCCACCTGGATGCTATATAGGTCAGGGCTGGGTTGTAGCCCTCCCCTGGCAGCAAATTAGAGGCAGAAAACAAGGCAATCTTCCACTGTGGAAGAAAACAACAGTTGATCTGGCCAGAGCACTGGGTCAGGGGCTCCCAGGCCAGCGTGAGTGCCTGGCTCTGCTCACTCGCTTCCGTGCTGGGGAGGGCTCCCGCCTGCAGCCTGGAGCCCAGGGTTGCCAGGATAATGAGCGGCAGCTGCCGCCAGTCCACTCAGCTGCGTGGCTAGCCTGCCAATCCATCAAGGGGGCCCACAGCGTGGCCACTACAAGGCACTCAGCCACACAGCGCCAAGGCATGAGGCCTGGCCCCTGCAGGCTCCAGTCACAGGCCCTAGGTGTGGCCTGGACCAGACCCCAAAGCACTGCTCCACCCAGCCCTGTCTCCAGACTTCTTCAGCAAACCTCAGCCTGGGCCCCAGGTTTCCTGCTCAGTACCAACAGCCACCAGAAAAGTCCAGGCCTCACCCTGCCTCTCAAGACCCTCACAGGCTGACCTGAGTCAGACCTGCCTACCAGGAGTCTGGCACTGTCACCAGAGACAGCACCGGCCATGTGCTCTCCAACTCTCCCGCTCACTCCTTCTTGCCTTTGGTCTTTTGGTCGCCACTCCTCCACACACAGATGCGGCAAATGTTTAGACAGGGCTGAGCATCCCAGCAGAAAGCAGAGGAATCTGAGAGGACGGCTGCTCAGGAGTCCACTACTATTGACAATGCACAAACCAGACTTTAAAGAACATAATGAATTATAGCTGGACTGGGCCACAAGGTCAAAATCTACTTGTAGCAAATCACACCATCCAAACAAACCCAGCAGCCACAGAAACGCCCGTGTGCATTAAAAAAGAAAGCCTGCAGCCAGACACCGTGACTCATGTTGGGAATCCCAGCACTTTGGGAAGCCGAGGTGGGAGGATGGCTTAAGGCCAGGAGTTCAAGACCAGCCTGGGCAACTGGGCAACATAGTGAGACACCCCTATCTCAAAAAAGGAGAGCTGGGCACAGTGGTTCACGCCTGTAATCCCAGCACTTTGGGAGGCTGAGGCAGGTTGATCACCTGAAGGTCAGGAGTTTGAGTCCAGCCTGGCCAACATGGTGAAACCCTGTCTCTACTAAAAATACAAAATATTAGCCAGGCGTGGTGGCAGGCACCTGTAGTCCCAGCTACTTGGGAGGCTGAGGCAGGAGAATCACTTGAACCCAGGAGCTGGAGGTTGCAGTGAGCCGAGACTGCGCCACTGCCCTCCAGCCTGGCGACAGAGTGAGACTCCATCTCAAAAAAGAAATAAAAAGAAAAAGAACAAGAAGAAGATAGCCTAACCCCTAACTGTTCATACGGCCAAACACCACTTAGAGAGATAAAATGCCCAACAACCTCAGAAGAAATGTGTCTGTCTGGGTTGAATGAATGGCGTCCTAGAACCCGAGAGTTGAGGGACTCACAGCAAGATCACCATTCTGTGCCTCAGTCTCTCCATCTGGAAAATGGGGATAACACACCCTCCTCCCAGGGTGACTGTGAGAATAAACTGAGTAATGAGCACAGGTCACTGGTCACCTGGCACCAGGAAGTGCTATGACTAGCATCATTCATGTCATGACCTGCAGACACTCACCAACCCTTTTCAGGACTGTGGAAGGACGCATCCACGCCGTGTCGTAAATGCCTTGGTACAGCCATGGTTGAGGCGTGTGTGTCTTTTCTCCCCACCTGGAAGGTGACTCCCCAACTCCTCCCACCTGGAAGGTGACTCCCTGATTCCGTCTCAAGCTCCAGCATCATGACCTTCCACAGCTGCACTTTCACCACATTCTGCTCGAAGCCTTACATGTCCAGTTTATTTATTCATTAAAACCTGCTGGGTACCCATCCTGCTCTCAGTGCTGGGCTGGGCACTCAGGACACAAGGGTGACACGGCAGAGGTCTAGGCCACAGGGGCTCACAGGCACACAGGAAAGACAAACACAGGAGTGGCAGGGCATTCCAAGCACAAGGCTCTGCATCGACAGGCACACCAGGGAGAAAAGCCACAGACTGTGCAGGAAAAAGGACTGCACTGTCAGGGACATCAAGCAGGGACTGAAGATGTGGCTGGAGCTGCTGGCAGAAGCCAAACCCAGGACCTCCCTCTGCAGGCCATGAGGAGCTGCGGAAGGGACTCAGGGACACCTGACTGCCCACGAGCCCATGAGCCCCTAGACCAAGTGCCTAGGTCTAGGCTCTCGACCCATCATCTGCAGAGGGCCAGACTCAGGGGACATAACCAGTGAAGGTTCCTAGATGGAGTCAGAGCAGCCACAGGCTGCCAGATGTTCATGGGCCCAGGCCAGCAGTGGAGGAGAGAAACAGAGGTGACCCAGCCAAAACTCAACCTCCTCCGGGAACTCTTCCTGGATTTGCCAGCCTCCCACAGCCACCTGCATTCACGGCCTGTGCTGCTGCGTCCAAACATTTGTTCCACGACTTCTGCTGAGGTCCTGTGATGTATAAGCTCGAACTGTAGAGGTCCAGTCGGCTGAAGCACTTCAGTACTAACAAACTTCAGCTTTCTTTCAACTTAATACTATGTCCTCACTGGGGGTATCCTAAGCAACAATCCCCATCCCAGTCTCACAGACACTAAAGATTAAACAGAAAACAAGCAGATGAGCGACAATGACAAACAGGAAATACTGTAGGAAGGAGAGTGGTCAGAAAGGTGAGCTCAGACATGCCGGAAGTGGAGCTGCCACCAAGCCAGGAGGGAGCCAGGAACTAAAAGAGCAGGCAAGTGTGCAGCACAGGAAGGAAAGGGCGCCAGGTGTGGCTGGAAAGGCACCTGGCAGGATGAGGGGCAGAAAAGCATGGATGGAGCATGGCCGGGGAAGCACGGGCGAGGCCCATTTTGAGCAGCACCACGGCTCACAGAACTTCCTGTGATAAGCAGTGTTCCCTACCCGCGCTGTCCAACACAGCCGCCACCAGACACGCGTGGCTACTGAGTGTCTGACATGTGACCACAGGCACGGAGGACCTGAATCTTTCATGTTAAGGTCAATATAAACAGCCACACATGCCTAGGGGCTACCACACTGGACATCACAGATACAGCTTCCAGAGCAGGAGGACGGCGCCATGAGGCAACAAACACGAGGTCCCTGGAGAGTTTCTGCGGTGGCAGCACAGATCAGCATCACCTGAAAGTCCCTGGTGGGGATGTCGCCGGCCCCAGTACCCAGGAAGCACCTTCTTACAACTTGGAGAAGGGACAGAAAGGCGTGGAGAGGCAAGCACACAGGGGCGGGGTCCCCAGCTCAGTCTCGAAGGCGGGCTCCGCTAGTTGAGTGGAAGGGCACCATCTCTTGCACCCAGCACGTAGGCGCCGGGGCGCTCCCCAGGACGGCACTGACCTCCAGATGCAGGCACCGGCTGCCCGGGCCAGAGCCCACTGACCTGGGGTCTGGACAGCGCGCAAGGACCCGCCGAGGAGCGCATGTGCCCGTGGGCCGGTCCCCGAAACGCGGCGCTCTCGGGGGACCTCGGCTCCGGGTCCCTGGCGCCCCTCGGGTCCACCCCCGGCGCGGCCCCGCCCCCTCCCCGCCCCACTGGCGCGGCCCCGCCCCCCGCCGGGCCTCCTGCGAGCCCCATGCTACGCCGCGACCCCCGCTGGGGTCCGGGCCCCGCGCCGGCCCCCGGCCGCCTCGCCCTCGCCGCCCCACGTCCGGCCCCGACCAGGCCCCGGCCCCACCGCTGCCGCCTCACCTGGGCCTCGGTGGCTCGCGGGCCGCTCCGTGCGCTCACGGCGGGCGGGGCGGGCACCCAAACATCACGTGACGGCCCCTCCCGCCGCCGGCGTGCGCGGCCCCTCCCACACCAGCCAATGGCCGCCGGGCCCGGACGCGCGCGGGGACTACCCGCCCCAGAGGCCCTCGCGCGGAGCCGGAAGCGGCGCGGACGGCGGACGACTGGGCCAATAGGCCTCTGCGGGTGCGCGCGCGAGTTGGCTGTCCCCGCCTGCCCCGTGGTGGGCCTCCGTTTCCCCGTTGTGCACATGGGGATGACGGCGAAGGTGGAGGTCACGCGGAGGGCGGCGGCCCGGCGTTGAGGCGCTTCGGGAGCGGGCTCCGCCCTGCCCAGGCCGAGCCCGGACCTCACACTGGCTCCTAGAAGCTCGAGCTCCTGCGCGGCTGCGGGGGCGGCAGGTCTCGGCCAGGGCAGGGCCGAGCATCTGCGCTTCTCGGGCTGCGGGGACGGGCGTCGGGCCCCAGGTCAGGCTGCACGGTCTCCTCGTGGGGCAGTGCTCGGACGGGGGCTGGCAGGTCCCGCGGGGACTCCAGACGCCCAGTGTCACCAACGGGGAAACTGAGTCTCAAGACATCTGAGGGACCTTTCCCCGAGGTCGCAGCCCCTCCCGGGAGGAGCTAACGCGCAGAGTGGGGACCCTCTTGCGGAGACCCTCCTGGGACCTCTTTCCGTAGGGACCTGGGGTGCCTCCCTCTCCCTGCTCTGCCTGCGGGCACTGAGCTTCTGAACGACTCCAGCCCCTCGCTCTCCCGGTGACCCACTGGAGAAGAGACCTGGGAGGAACCTGGGGACAATGGGTGTGTGTCCTTGGGCCGCCAGGGTCACCTTTCAGCCTGTTTCCCCGCAGGTGAACCAAGAGCCACACCCAAGGCAGGAGAGCAAGAGTGATGAGTACGCTGTTTCTCACCGGCCAGGGGAGGGTCTTCCGCCGCCCTCACTTCGTGATGCTTGCTCAGCTGGTGAAGCCCACACCGAAGCCCTGCGGGCGGCCCTGGGCTCCCGCGAAGTGCCTTGCTGAGTTCCTGGGAAGGAGGCGTGCCCTCCCCATCCCCCACTACCACACTGACTGGGGTTCTCTGCAGCCCAGGATTGCGCACGTGTGCGCACACGGGTTCTGTGCACATTAACACAAAAGTGTGCTTGTGGACCCTGCGTGGTACTGTGTGTGCACACAGCGCACGTCTGTGAGCTGAGGGAGTGTGCCTGGACACCAGGTGCAAGTGCACAGGTGTGTGTATGCTGGCACAAGTGTGTGCCCCGGCGCAAGCATGGGAACAGTAGTATATGGCACAAATGTGTGTGTGCACACATGGGTGGGAGGGCAGAAGGGTACATGTCCACCAGTGTGCCTGTGCTCAGGCCGGCCTGTCCTGGGCCCACCCAGGCTCCTTGCCCTGGTGTGTTTGAGCCTCTCCTGGCCCCCAGAAGACTGGTGTGTGCCTATCTTACAGCCCAGCCAGGATTTGGACAGGGCTTCACTATGCTGCTAGGACAGCTAGAGTGCAGGGTAGCTGGCTCCTATCCAGGGAGGATGCCCATGACTGCTGACCCCCAGGTTCCACTTGAAGGGGAAGGTTCGCCAGGACCAATGCCTGTCAGAGCTGGCAGTCCGGACTGAGGATGCCGGGTGCCTGGTATGGCGTCCACCTCCCCCTCCATGGCTGGCACTGTCTGTCTGGCCACCACCTCACTCAGCCTCCTCTGACAGCTCCGTGTTCAGTGGTGGAAAGGAGGGAAAAGTGAAACCCTCTTCCCCCCAGGGCAGACCACCTCCAGGAGCCACTTTCTTGACCATACAAGGCGTATATGGGGATGCTTCTGTACTTGGACACTGCAGGGGAATAGTCTAGCGTGGGCAGAAACCACCAGAGGAGGGGCCCCATCCCTGTTGGTTCCTCCGAAATCTGGGCTGAGCCTGCCTGAGTGCCCCATAGCAAGTTAGGGAAGGTAAACCTCTCCGTGAAAGAGCCAGGAGCCCACTCCCTCAGGCTGAGCCGATGGGTAGGGCAAGGAGGATGCTAAGGGATCCCCGGAAAGGGACGAGGGAAATAGCCAATAGCTGTCTGGGCCTAGGGCCAGGGCTCCCCTCCCTTGCCTCATCTCTGCCCCTCCCTAGAAGAGTTCATCGCATGACCTTGGGCAGCTCTGGGCTCTCTCCTTCCTCCAGAGAAGCAGGACCCCGGTGAAGAGCTCTGGTCCCAGCCCTTGGCCAACTGGTGAGACCAGCAGGGTGAATAAGTGGAGTTGGTCCCTGCACGCTGAGTTCTGTTACCTAAGGGGGTGGGGGTTGCCTGGTTCTCAGCTGGCACCCCCACAAATTGAATGTACCATTCCAGGTCCCAGAGGGAATATGGGCTACAAGGTTGGGGAGTGGTTCCAAGGCCTTCAGAAGGAACATTGAGGCAGCACCCACTAAAGCCAACCCTAGAAACACTCCTGCTGTGAATAGTAGCATGGACTTCTTGGGGTTTAAGCCGAATTTCCAGGTCATTGTCGACCTGTGGATTTGTTGTGAGTTTCCCTGTCCTCCCACCCTTCCTCTCTACCCTCTGCAGCCTAGCTCCAATGTCGCCTGCTCAGGAGACCATGCCTTGCTCCCCTGCAGCCCCTGCCTGGACAGAAAAAGGCCTCTGCACCTCCTGCTCTGCTCCCAACACAGCTTCTGCTCCAGCGAAGCCCACAGGCACTCAGTCCTTGATTCCTGCACCCATCAACCCCGCCGAGCCGCCCTCACTGTCACCAAGGCTTCCTTTGTCCCTTAGCAACAGAACCCCAGTTTTGTTCAAGGCATCAATGTACCCAGCCTCACCAGCAGCTGGGGCCAGCTGTGAAACTGTTTGCCCAGGGGATGACCGCAGGAGGCACAATCGAGCCTCCTGGTCCTTTGGAAGGAGCAGCTGTGGCTGCCCACCTCACTAACAAGAGTCTTCCTTTCTCCTTGCTCCAGCCTGAAGTGTGGGCATGGCATCCCGAGGACAGCAGCCGTGTGGCCAGCAAGGGACAGGGTCCCAAGCTGAGGATGGGAGCAGCTGCCTTGGTGCCCCAATGACCACCATCAGACTCATCACCATCGGGAGAACAAGCCCCTGTTCGCTTTATGGGGCTGCCTCATTGGATTTCGTTAGGCTTTCTGTAACTCAAGCCAGTGCCACTTCTATTGTGGCTGATTTGGGCTCCTAAGCTCATGGGGTGGGACATTGTTCTATTAGCTGTGTCCTGCCCCCCAACAATGATGGCTCCTTGCAGGCAGGCCCCAAGGGCACGTTGTGGCCCCACACACAGCAAGTGCCTCACACCTGGAACAGCCCAGAGGAGCTTGTGAGGAGTGAGGACGCGGGAGCCACACTCCCAGGTGCCTGTTTTCCACATGTCCGCATGCAGCCCAGGCTTCCAACCACATCTTAAAAAATAAAAAGATGGGGAGGAGAAGAAACTTTGGTCCTAACACCAAACCAAACCCTGTCTTGCTGTGTGATGTTCAACGTGAGGCACACCTTCTCTGGGCTTGTTTACCAAAGCCGCAATGCAGGTGCTGAGCACTCGTGAGGCCTGCCCAAGAGCGAGGTTGGTAAAGGGCTGAGCAGAACCAAGGGCATGGAGTGTGTGGGAGGGTGAGGTTCATTCCCTCGTCACCCACGCAGGGGCAGTGTCATGAGGGAGCACGTGGGAGTCTCCGGGAAGGGCCTGACACAGCCCCAGCGCGTGGCAGGGGTCTGACCATTCAAGACTCAGTCTGTGTCATCAGAGACCAGGCTCTTAGAAACCAACTCCAGCCTGATACACATAACAGCTTCCCAAGGTGTTTAACACAGAGCAGGAGTGACGAAAAGAAAAATGAAGTGAAAGAATGGAAAATCCATCAACACGCATGTGGAGTGCTGTTCTTGCTAATGCATCGTCCAAGAAAAAATACTTGGCTCCCTTCCTGGGAATGCTCCCACCCCGCAGCCCCCGCCTGGCATCCCTGAGCCTGAGATCAGCAGGTGGGGACGAGGGGACCGGAGGAGTCTTCTCCCTGCAAGGGCGCGGTCTGCCCGGATTCCACAGCCACAGCGAGGCCTGCTGCTGGGTGCAGCTGCCCTTTCCTTCCCTGCCACAGTTCATCTCATCGGCAAAGCCTGTCTCCTCTTTCACTCATTCAACAAGCTTTACTTCCACGCCAGACAACTTGCTAGGATCTGGGGACACTGTCCAGTTTGATTTGGTGGCTGATGACAGAACGACCCAAATAACAGTGGCTTAACGATTGATGGTTGCTTTTAATGTTATACTTTTATGTCCAGGTAGGCAGTGGGACTGGGAAGGTGACCTCACAATCATCAGGACCCCAGACCCCTTAGTCGGGTTACCCTATCACTCCCAAATAGGCATTCTGCCTCACGGTGCAAGGCAGCTGCTGAAGCTCCAGCCACCATGTCTGCTTTCAGCCAGCAGGGAGGAAACGACGGCATACTCTTCCCAGCCTCGCAAACCATGCTTTTACGGATGCTTCCTGGATTTTGCACACCCCACCTCTGCTTACAGCCCCACTTGGCCACAGCTGGGTCTCTTGGGTACTTCGAGCTGCAAGGGAGGCTAGGACATGTCTCCACCCCAGAGGTTGTGTTCTCAGCTAAGAGCTGGGCTCTTGCACTGAGTACGAAGGGAAAGATGGGGTTGCCTGGCAGTCTCTGCAGCAGCACACAGCCCTGTGCACCACCTGGCAGGCAGGCCAATGTCGACAACCTGCAAATCACACACGTGTGTGCTGGGAACCTGTGCTGAGGCCGTGCAGGAGCGATGAGGGGCGTGGGGGCGCCCGGAGGGATGGGGATCAGGGAAGGTCCCTCAGTGAGGAGACCAAAATGGGCAAGTCTTGAGGGGTAGTGTTTCTGGGGGGTGAGCTGTGAGTACCATGGCGAGAGAGGAGCCAGCAACGTCCACATCCCACTGTCCTCTGTGGGCACATCCTGACCCCTCCAGCTGCTTAGGGTCGGGAGAAGTCAGACAGCCCATCTCCTGGCTCTTCCTCATTCCACAGGTGAGAAACCCGGTAGAGGAGAGGCAGGCACAGGGTCCAGACCAGCACCTGGCCACTCTGGGCCCAGCCCGTGTTCACTAACCCCAGGCCCGGTCTCTGCCTCCTTCTTGTGGCACCTCCCCTCTCAACACGTTCAGCCTGTGATGGCCACAAAGTCATAGCCCTGTGGAGTCACCGGTGAGCCGAGGGACTTTATTTTGTTCTCCTTCTTTTTTTTTTTTTTTTTTTTTTTTTTTTTTTTTTTTTTTTAAGACAGGTCCTTACTGCGTTGCCCAGCTGGAGTATAGTGGTGCAATCACAGCTCCCTGTAGCCCTGACCTCCCAGGCTCAAGCGATCCTCCCATCTCAGCTTACCTAGTAGCTGGGACTATAGGCGCATGCTCATTTTTTTTCTTTGTACTTTTGTATTTGAGACAGGGTTTCGCCATGTTGCCCAAGCTGGTCTCAAACTCCTGGACTCAAGCAATTCACCTGCCTCAACCTTCCAAAGTGCTGGGATTACAGGCATGAGCCACTGCGCCCAGCCTCTGAAGGGACTTTGAAAATGGTGTCATTCACCACTTCTTTTATAGTCAACAGCACCCAATTTGGTTCTGAATGTGTGGTTCTTTCGTGTCCGCTGTTTGGATTTAGACCTGGTACCCGAATGAGACCAGGACGCTTTAGGGGCAGTGAGCATCCTAGACATGCATGCTGGCACCTGGCTCATTGGCGGACAACTTAGAAACCATCAGGATTCGCTGGTGAGCGGCACTGAGGGCACGCACCCACGTATGAGTGCCCACGATGAGAGGTGTGAGCAGGAACACCATGGTGGCTGTGGCGACGACTGCTCCCTGAACGCTCCCCTCTTCTCCTCCTGACACAGCCACACTTCCGGCCCCTCTTGCCATCTAAGGTCCACGTGGCTGGCCCTGCGCAATGGTGGGTGCAGCACGCCCTGCCATCCTTCCCTGTGCATCTGCCTGTGGCCGGGAGGTAGAGTCGCCCAGCAGCAGTGGAGCCACAGGAGGGAAGAAGCAGGTCCCGAAACTCTCGTTCTTGTCCTGGGGGTCACTGAGTCTAGTGGACAAGGGTTGAGTGAGAGGAAAAGGACAGAGGTGAAGGCACTGCCTGCTGCAGGCCCTCAGCCTCCCCTTCCTGCATTCTAGACGTCCACCTGGGGCGTTCGAGGAAGGGGCATTGTCCCAGGAGAGAGGCTTCATCCCATTGTGGAGGGGGGATGGATGCGGAGCTTGTGCATGGATGAGGAAGACGAGCAAATGACGGGATCATTTGAGTGTTGGGGAGGGAGAAGGCGGCCACCTCTACTGCCTTGAGAGGGCAGCCCTGGGCCTGCGGAGGGACAGGACATGCCCTCATCCCTCAGGCTGGGGGCAGGCAGAAAGAGCAGAAGACTGCGCCCTGAACTTTAGGTTCCCCTGGGGGAGACCTGGTGAGCGCTCAGGGTAGGGCCGAGGGCAAACGCTCTCCCTTCTGGCCCTGCCTCTGCAGCTTCTCCAAGGAGCTGAGCCAAGCCATCCCTCGAGGGGCAGCAGCTGAAGAAGTCCCACGCCGGGACGCATTTCGCTAACGCAACCCACCTGTTATCCTATGAGCTGCTCTGCAAAGACACATATTATTCTCTCGGTAATAAGGGTCTGCTTAGGGACAGATGTGCTTCGTCTCCCTCCTCCCTGCTCTGTGCTCCCTCCAGCTGAGCCACCAGAAGCTCCAGCCTCCCAGCCAACCCCTGGAGCCCCTTCAGCCTGGAGGCAGGGAGTGTGGTTTGACCCCTGGCTCCACCGTGTGCCTGCTGGGTGGCCCAGCCCATCAAACACCTGTCCAGAGCCTCAGCCTCCTCGTCAGTGCCATGCACACCAAAAAGTTCCCTGCTCCATGGAGCCAGCCTCCAAGTTGAGCCAACTCAACAAGGCTTGAGTGAGTCAATGCCAGGGAAACCTGGAACAGCCCCGAGCACAGGGCCTGGCCCTCTGGAAGCCCCGGAACATGTGGGCTCATGGGTTGTGTGTGGGTGAGCATTTGCCATTGACATATTGCATGGATGCCAAGCACCAGTGCCAGACATGGGAGCTAACAACACAGCATGATGCCCTCAGGGTATCTCGGAAGTTGAAGAGGTGGCAGACCAGCCAAAGGGGTCACCGCTGGGTCATAAGACTGTTGTTAGAAGGTGATAAGAGGAAACACTACATTCTGTCTGGGGTGTTGGAGAGGTTTCCCAGAGAGGGAGCATTTGGGCTGGGTGCTGAAGGATGACTAGGAGTTTGCCAGGCAGGAGCAATGTGGCTCTAACATGACTGCCAGAGAAGGTTGCCACATCCACTTCCTGCATCACTTTCTACCCCAACTCCTATTCCAGACATGGCGTGTGGGGACTTGCCCACGCCTCCTCCCTCCCTTGTCCCCCACCTCTCTTCACATCTGCACACAAATGCAGTCCCATATATACTCACATACAGTCACAAACATTCTTATACTCACAGAAGCTGGTGTTGACTCCGCTGTGCTGAAATCAGCCTCCATCCCCACCCAGAAACCCAAAACACCCCAACTTCTGCGCACAGGGAGACACGGTAATGAGATGCTAACAAGCTAAGGTAAAAATCGGAGAGAAAACTGTTTTGCAAAATCACAACAGTTTGTACTTCCAGGGGCTCCCTCCCCGGCAAGCGTGCTGCCAAAGCTCACGACAGTGCTGTGTGTGGGCTGAAAGTAGCTGTGGGGGGTGGGGGGCACCTCCTGGGTTGTTGGTGGAAGCAGAAATGGTCCTAGAGGTTGCCAGGGTGTGCCCGGCCCCAGGTCCTGCCCCACAGTGCCCCTTTCTGCTTGGCTTGCACACCTGGGCTCCCTGGGAAACTGCCTGCTTGAGGCCTTCTGGGGCCATGCATCACACCAGGCTTACATCTGAGCACCTGCCCGGCGTCCCAGGCCTCTGACCACAGCAGCCGGTGCCCCTGGTTCTCCAGGCGCCCGCCTCCAGCTCCTGCGTTGGCACAGCCTGGGCCTCTGCCTGGAGGTAACCCGCTCGTCCTTTAAGGTTGCGCCTTTGCAAACCCTCTACCACCAGCTCCAAGAAGCCTTCCTAACCCTTCGGCCCAGCTCTGGGGCCTCCTCTGAGTTCTGCAGGCCCAACCTTCCTGCCTGCCTGGTGCTGATGGTGTTGTCCTCCCACCCCCGAACGGAGGAACTCCTCCTTGCTGGCACCTGGCCGTTACTGCTCTTCATTGTATGTTTGTTGGATGAATGAATTAGACAGAAGGTGGGTGAATGAATGAATGATAGATTTAGAGTGACTGAGCTGGAAGGGGTCTTGGGGATCATCTGGAGTATTCTGGAGGAAACTGAGGCCCAGAGCAGGGAAGTGGCCCCCAAAGCCACCCAGCAGTGGGGGCAGAACTGAGTTCCTGGCTCCCCAGTCAGTGTGTTTCCCTCCCCACTGGATTGCAGGAAAATCCCCAGGGGCCAGAGCCCTGCCCACATCGAGATGGCATCTCCCCTGCCCTTGGGGTCCCCACCACTCTCTGCAGTGCCATGATCCTTTTCTGAACCAGAGACCCCAGTTTCCCCATGGCTGAGAAATGGGCTCTGAAGAGCAGATGAGGTGCTGAGGGCAGGGCCAGGCATTCTCCCCTGTGACCCAGGGCCTGTGCTCCATCACCCTCCCCAGCTCCGTGGCACCTGGGTGCAGGGCTGGGAGGGGCCCAGCACCAGGACAGACAAGTATGTCTGGTCCCTGGGAGGTCATGGAAGTCAAGAGGAAAGTCATCGAGGCTGGATCTCGTCAGGGTGCTCCCTTGGGCTGCGTGTCAGGAGCTCCCAGAGCCTCGGGGGCCATGGGATGGTGGCCTCCAGTCCACGGGCAGCCCACGTTCCTGGGTGGAATCTTCCTGACCGCCCAGGCCCCTCCCTGTATTTTCATCAAGGTTGCAGGGAGAGAACTCGCCGGTATCATGAAGACAGATCAGCTGTACGGACCCAACGCAGCTCCCCTGTGCCATGTGTGGAAGGGCCCAGGAAGGAGCGGTCACCACCCTGGACAAGCATCCAGCCCCCAGCAGGGCGGCCGTGCCCAGGTGATGCTCTGTGGTGACAGCAGGAGGCCAAGGGAGAAGGAGCCCGGCAGGCCCAGCCTGAGCAACATTGGGATTTTGCTGTTTTTTCCTTGTCCCATCTGGGAAATGAGTGCCGTGTCTTCAGCTCTGATTCCCAGTGTGGGGCACTGTTC